CACACGTTCTGGATAAAGATAAGCTTTGTTACAAAATAAAATACCCTGGTCCTAATAGTACATCTATTTATGGAAAGGAATAGATTTTTGCATCAAGTTCCCCTCACAAAGCCTTCCCTATGATTCAGTCATTGCTGAAAAGGAAACTATCCTTAAATAAACACTGCCTTGTCCTCTTTCTAACGGGGCTCCAAATAGGAAACTGGTTTCACCTTTTAGGAACTTCTGGTACCTTGGTAGATCTTTAAACTGTGACATCACAGAATTATAGATTTTAGAACTGGAAGGAACCTTGTTAATCCATCACTCAGCTCCTCCCTCGAGGCTTCCTTCTTTCAAGAGTACTGGATAGTCATCACTGGGGGCAAGACGTGCATGACCCCAGAACACCACTGAGAAGAGGTCAGCCTGGTTTGATGGTCCTGTGTCAGTTTAGAGAATCCAGGTGCTCTGACTACATGGGTTTGGAGGTGGGTATCTTGTTTGCTGGCAGAATTGGGGAAAGTGAGTCTGCTTTGGGCTCTGTGCAAATTGTAAACTGGTTCTCCGAACAAACTCCAAGTCATGATGTATATTAAGTTGTGATGGTCATTCGGGCTTGGTTATGCCTGTCACCTGTGCTGCAATCCTTGACACTTCTTTTGATTGCTATGGGATATCTTATGTACTCATTCGTTTTATTTCAAATCCTTCACTCAGAACTATTGTAAACAAGCTCTCTATTATCCTTGGAGAAAGAAAGGATTTTTTTTTGATGTGATTTAGAGAAATTGAGCAGAAAGTTTTGAGACATTAAAAAAAAGATGATTTCCAGTCAGTACCTTCAGAAAAAGAAGTGTCAACATTTAATTTTGATCCATATGCTGCCTGCTTTCAGCCTGTATTATTCTAAGACTTTTCTTTCTCTTTAGAAACCTTTCCAGCCTAGCTCAGACTTTTCCCCCCAACACTGATTTTTCCACACTTTCCTCACTTATTTAAAATGGAAATAAATATCAAGAGCTTAACATAGAGTAGTGATGTGGGGGGCGCATAATCATTTGTTTATTGCATTCGATCACTGTTTTGAATAACAGGGTTTTCACTTCCTATGAAACCTTAGCATGAGGGAAAGCAGCAGCTGAACTGGGAGGGGGATGCAGGGAGGAGAGCACTTGAATGTTTGTAAACTCTGGGTGACTGGCCCACCCTCCCGCGGCTGCTGCACTGAGCTGTCTTTACTACCTAAGGCTAGAAGTGGAAAAACTTGATTTGCGTGTTGTGCCTGCATTTTTTTTTCTTTCTTCTCCACACCGCCCTCTGTACACCTGACCATGCAGAAGCCTATCTGAAGCCAGCTTGATGGCAGGGAGAGCTGGAGAGCGGAAGAATGTGCTGAGGGAGGGAGTGCTCGGTACTTTTCCATTCACATCTCCACAGTGGCTTTTCTTGTTTATTTCAACCTCCACCCGCAGAACCCTTTCAGCTGCCTGAAATCCGAGTCATTAAACTGTTCCCTGAGGTCAGACCACAGATGCTCGGTGCATGATTCCTACATGTCGGTGTCTCTGTAACATATGTACATACAGAGATGTACTCATAAACGTGCAACTCCGTGAGGGCACAGTGTGAGGCAGGGGGAAAAAAATGACTGGGTTTGTGGCCAAAAAACCTTGGTTTCTAATTACAGTTCTGCCTGGAACTCCATATGGGACCTGGAGCAAAATCACTTGTCAGGACTCAGTTTCCTCAACTGTGTGAAAGAATAACCCAGATGATTTACAGGCTGTCTGTCTGTTCCAAATCCTATGCCTTTACATCTAAACACATATTCATATAACTTTAAGTTGGAGGTGGGTTGGAAAGGAGCTGTGTGTATATGTGTCCCTGGGGTGGGAGAAGGAGTTAAAATGTAAACTTCTAAGTAAAGAGGGCAGTCCCAGAATCCTCACCTCTATCAATTTTTAACCAATTATAGACCAAAGTCTGGGACTGTGTTGAGTAGGTCCAAAAGCCATCTGAAGATTTTAAATGTTAAGAGTTGGAGGAGGCCAGTTCTAAGCCCTTGTACCTTTGATCTCCAGCATTCATAATCAGATGTGACAGTTCCCAAGTGTCTTTTCTGCACTACAGTTCCTTTTTTTTCTTCTTCTTCTTCCGTTTGTTTTTGGAAACTGTCCCAGTAATGATAGGAAGGAGATGACACTTGTAAACTGGGCACTCTTTAAGCCACTGGGACCCACAGGGATGTAAAAAATGTCATAATATTCACACACACACACACACACACACACACACACACAAGAAGAAGAAAAAGAAAAAAGAAGAAGAAGGAAAAAAAAACCTAGAGAGAGATTCCTGGTAAGAAACTTAGAGGTAGCTCACCCATCACTGCATTAAAGGTAATTGTCTGAAGTCAAAGGAAATAACAGATAAGGAGTTTGCCCTTATTAAAAAAAAAAAAAAAAAAGCTTGCTCTACCAGAACAAACTTGAAAACAATGAAAGAGAAATACTTTCTACCAATATTTACTATGCTTTTAAAATCTTTATTCTTTAAAAAGAAAGGTCTGAAGTTTCTCAGGCCTGGTTGTCTAGACATAAGAAGGCCTTTAACAGACGTCGGCATCTTCAGGAAATAATCAAGTAGCTCCTGTTTATTAGCAGTGACCTCCACCCCAGCACCATCCCTCCCCTTAGACCTTCTGCAGTATTGATGCCCACGTACAAGGAGAGATGGAGCCAACTACATTCTCTCAGTGGACAGCTATTGAGAGTCATAATATACCAGCACTGGGAGGCTCCTTAGCAATTATCTAATTCAACACTACTGATTTCATATATTTGGAAATTGAGGCCCACACAGAATGCACTTGCCACACACACTGGATCAGACAGAGCCAGATCCAGAGCTTTGACACCCTGATTCTAAATCCACTGCATTTTCCATAGCTTACCATGAAAAGAGGATATAGCATGGGCAGCCCTGCAAAAGGGCCATTTGCTGAGGCCTTACATTCAGAAAAGTTGCCACCTTTGGACTTTTGGCATAATCTCCACTGAGGTTGTGCAAAGACTCAACTGAGTCTTAGCAGTGCAATGACAGGATGGAAGGGAGAAGACCATCGTGCACAAGCTCTATGTGTGGGTCCCAGTGTAGGAGCCCCCGCGGGCCCCTACAGTGCTGTGATTTCATACTGTTAACCAACCTTTACTTGTCTTATGAATGGTGCTACTGTATTTTAATTGTGTATGTGTTGATTTTCAAATGTAAAATGTAATATATGTTTGGCCTAGAAGCAATGTCGCTGCAGCAGCAAAGAGCACAGCTAGTGGCAGATGCTGGTGTCTGACACCACTCTCCAGTAGTGGAGGGCAAGGTGTGGCTGCTTCTAGATCTAGGACAAGGGCAGCAAGTATATAAAATTAGAATGGAACATCTTGTAGCCCCGTAAATAAGGAATTGCTAAAAAACTAGCAAGCAAACAAAAGCTACATCAATGGGGGGTATTTCAAAGAGACACTGGAGCCATCGGAAGAGATTCTAATGGCCAAAACTGGAAAGTTCTGAGAAAAAAAAATTAAACTGAGTAATATTGAATTATAATTCAAAGTATAAAATAAATATCCATCCATGAATCTATACTGATATAAAAATTGAATAAATTAATAAATGGGAGAAAAGAGACAATTCTTCCTAGCAGAATTCCAAATAACTTATGTAGATAGATATTTTTGTAAATCCTACCCTCAAGGATGGGGAGGAGTGGATAATTCCTCTTTCCTTAAGTGTGAGCTATGCATAGTGACTTCCTTCCAAAGAGGAGAGTCAGTATGGGAAGCGAGGAAGGGAGGATGAAATAATTTTATGTGGAGAAACCTGACAAACACTACACCAGCCAAGTCATCAAGGTCAACCTTAGCAATTATAAATCATGTTGATTTCATGTACCTTTGATATGAGATGATGGAAAAGGCTTTTTAGCTCTGTGGTCTTCCTCCCTTACCCCCCGCCTATTTATAAGAAGAGTATTAGACAAATTCCAACAGAGGAGCATCCAACAGAATACTTCGCCAGTACTCCTCAGAACTGTCGAGGAAAGTCTGAGAAACTGCCACCGCCAGGAGTAGCCTAAGAAGATGTGACCCCCTTAGTGTTAATGTAGCATCCCAGATGGGATTGTGGAACAGAAAAAGACGTAAGGCAAACCTAGACAAATCTGAATAAATGAAGGACTTTAGTTAATAATATTGTATCAGTATTGTTTCATTAATTGTTACAAATGTGCCATATGGGGGAGAAAGGACACAATTGAACTTATTTATAAAACAGAAACAAACTCACAGATACAGAAAACAAACTTACCACTATAGAGGGGAGAGGGGAGAAGGAATAAATTGGGGGTTCAGGATTTGCAGGTACTAAATATTATATATAAAATAGATAAACAATAAGGACCTACTGTATAGCAGATAGAACTATACCCAGTACCTCGTAATAACCTATAATGAAAAAGAATATGAAAAGGAATATGCATATGTGTGTGTATTGAATGAATAAATGAATCACAATGCTATACACCAGAAATTAACAGAACATTGTAAATCGACTACACTTCAATTTAAAAAAAGTACTGTACTAATATAAAATGTTGATAATACAAAAAACTGGGTACAGGGTTGTTCTCTGTACTATCTTTTCAATTTTTTGTTTAAAAAATATTTTTGAAAAAAAAATTGGGGGAAAGGGTTTTGTTTCTTTATTTCAGTACCAGAAATCTCCAAAAGGTGATCCAGGTCCCTTTTGAAATCTGAGGGAACCTGCATTTATTCCTTTAGCTTACTAAATTGAAAGCAATTTAGCTAATTTCTGTGTCACCATCTGGACAAAGAACTGTCAGGAGAACACTAGGGAGGCACCAAAGGCCAAATGTTGTCATGGTGGTAGATGACTCAGGCCACCTCATTAATCTGCTTACTCCACATTTCTTTCTGAAAACTCTGCAGGGAAACAAGGCTTTGAATGATCTAGCCATCAGTCCATATGGGATGTATAATACTTGCAGATTCAGTACTGAGGTTGGGGGAGCCCCAAGAGCTTCATAGAATGTCTGGTTTTTCACTGTACAACTCCAATACAACTGTGGGTCTCATTGGAGTTCAACTCTGGGTCTAGAGAAGAACAGCTGGCTGGCCCTCACAACTCTACGTTTGTCTTCATTATTAATATGACCCCACCATCTAAACCAGAAAAATCCAGAGAGGAAATGGTTTGCCCAGACCATCCCGCACATTAGTAGTAGATTTCCATCAACCAGTCCACCTTGAATCATTTATTTTAGTAAATTCACTTTAGTAAACTGAGGACTGCTATTACATTAATGTATATTATTTCAGATATGCCTCATCCATTTCTAACCAATTGTCAGTTACCCATGGTGGCCAGTTCCAGTGCTGTACTGAATTTTAAGTGTCTCTTTCTTCTTTCCCTTCACCTTTTCCCACTTGTTTCAACTTCTCTGCCAAATGGTTCTAAGATCTTTGAACCAACACTTATATTCACTATGGAGGCTGACATTTAAACAATTCTTGGTGAAATGCAGTGAGACTGAATCCTACCCTACTCCATGACTCTCAGCAATCTGTTTGATTGCACATCTCAAGAATCATAAACATAGTCATCTGGACAAAGTAAATTCTACTTCTTGGAATTTATCTTCAAGATACAATTCAACTTAGAGGGGGAAAAAAACTTTGAATGAGTACACGCATCCAAGCGTTATATCTAACAACATAAAAGTTGAATAACATACATGTCCCATCATGACTGGGCTGGGGGCAAGGGTGTTGGGTGGAGAAAAGTTAAATAAATTATAATACAACTAATTTTTAAAAATTAGAATTGGAAAATGTTTATGGTATCAGGTAAAGTAAAAATAAGTAGGATTACATATAAAATTATTTGTATGTATTATATGTAATCCTACTTCTTACATGTATAGGATATATATTTTATATATAATATATGTATATAGTATATTTATAGCTATGTTTAAAAATACTCTACATAAAAATTCATCTGGGTATAAATAAAAGTGCACAATTAACAACAACAACAAAATTATTGACATTGTCTGTCTTAGGGTAGTAGATTATGGATGCTTTTTTCTCCTTTATTCTTTATCTTCCAAATTGTGTAATGTTGATATATTAGTTTAATATCTATCTATCTAACTCACAAGCACACACTCAAGACACTGAAAAGCCCTAAGTAAAGTCTTTTAAGTGCAAGCAATTAGTCCTCTAATTCACAGACTGGAATGTTTGACCTCCACATCTTCAGGGCCTACAGCGAAAGTGAGAACTGCCCACTCTCTCTCAGAGAAGACCTTTCATTCAGGGAGACACGTGTCTCCACACCAATAAAACATGCCGTTCTGAACACATTGACCCTAACAAGATTAAACAGACCCTGTAAACCTGTGATCTATCCCCGCCCCCTTCCTCTAGGTGTGCTTATCTTGTTTGTTGGCATCTCACAGCATTTGCAAATGTCAGAGGGTTTCCTGGTTACTTTGCTCTCTCTGTGAGGCCACCCAGGAGCTCTCCTGGTAAATAGACCTTCTCTGAGATCCTTCTGGGACTACAGGGGATCTGTTCATGGTTCTTATAACATGTTTGACTAGGGAATTCTAAGGAAGACAATTTAAAAAACATTACATCATTTTTTTTTTCTTCAGAGAATCACAAGGCTGTTAGGAACTTTGGTGAGGTTAGGGGGTGCCTATACCATTGTTTGAATGTCTGGTTCTCAGGAAAGAGCCTGGGGATGGGCATCAAGAACTAGGAGGTGAGGTAAGGACCACGGTTCTGATAAGCCCCTCTTCCTTTAAGCCGCCGATGGGATTGCTCATGCTCAGCTTCCGCATTCACACAACACCCAGTTCATCAGCAGTCTCGTGGGAGAGACGCTGTGCTAGATGCTGGGGAAACAAGTGTAAATACAACAGGGGACTCTGATCCCAGAAGGCATGAGTCTACTGAGGAAACAGAAGCCCAGAAACATGCCAAAACGTGCTTTAGGTCGTGTAAGAGATAGTCCACTTGCCAGGCTGGGCCCCAGACTTCCTGATTCTGAGCTGAATAAAACTCTCTGGCTTCTTCTCAGGAGCTGTGTCCCACCTCCCACCTCAACACCAGTGTGAGGCATTGACTCCCTTCCTTGGGCAGGTCCACTCTGAGTTTTTCATCCAGTATTGATCAGAACAGGACATAGACCATCTGCCTCAGTGTACCATCCAGTAATACCCACTACCCAACATGGACAGGCCCACGAGAGCCTGGGGCACGCAGGGTCCCTGCTGTGTCCTCCACCACCATCACTGGTTGGCTCAGCCTTCAGACCAGAGCTTGGCCTGGGTTCTGACTTTTCTATCTTCATGTGCCTGAAGGGTTCTACCAGGAGCAGACAGGTCACCCAGCATCATGCTATTCCAAAGCACACAGCCTCAAGTAACAGCCACAGTCTGGACACCAGGACCCAGCACCAGCTTTAACAGGATCTGGACCCCTAATACATCCTGATGCCTACTCAGCTAAGCCCAGGCTTACTCCAACCCTCTGAGTATCCCATACCTTTGATGATACACTAACAGGTGATCTATGCAGGTGCCAGCGCTGCATCCAGACCTGTTTCCATAGCACCCTATTTGCTAAGGCCCAGCCTGCCTCAGGATTGGGCCTATGTGCCAGGAGTAGTAACCGTTTCTATTCTGTGGCCGGACAATGATGAGTTGGATATAAAAATGGCACATGCATAAAACTACCAAAGTTTCGGCAGTCTTAAAATTAGTTGGAAATACAGCTGCTTCTGGTGTCTAAACAGCAAGGTTGCTAAGAACAACCCTACCCTTTAGAAGCACCAGTACTGAAAAGCCAGTAGAATGCTCAAAAGAAAATGGAACAGAGGAAGATTAATAATGCCATTAATAAAGGGCATAGTTTGGGAAGATACACTGAGAAGATTTGACGATGGTGATGGTAGACCATGAAATCAAGCTCTTTAGACCCCCAGATTTCTTTCCAGTTTCGTCTCCTAAACAGCTTTCTACCCCAGACTCTCAGCATTCTCCAAGGACCCCAGCACTTACCTCCACTCCACACCCAGGCCTTGATGTCTGCCTTCCTCTGACAGGCTAGAAGCTCCTCAAAGACAAGAGTACTTCATTTTCGTTGTATTAGACTTGTGTCCAGCACATGGCACTAACTTAGGAAATGTTGATTGAATTAAAGTAGGTAGAACTGAAAGAGAACTCACTGTGAAATCTGACGATCTGGGTTCCAGTTAAAGTTCCACAACTGACTAACTTCTGTGAGTCTCAGTTTCTTGTTCTCTAAAATGGTAATTTCTGTTATGG